TCCAGATAGCATGAACTGTTCTTAAGTCTAGCATTTAAGATCCAAACCACTGGGTTTTTTGGCTTGTCACAAAGCTGTGATCTTTGCACAGCTGTATCCCTGATACAGGAATATAGAGGTTAAAGTCAGTTCGGGTGGTGCCTTTGCCGATCGCAGAAGTTATGAGATTCTGAACAAAAGACAATAGCAACATTTCCTTCCATTACACCAGGGCTGAAGCACTTCTTAGGTTGAAATTGTAACAGACTCACCAGATGTACCAAATAGTTTAAAACAGCAAGAACTTCTGAACCAGAAGCATTTGCATTCTTACAAGATGGGTCTGTATGACTTTCAAGCAATATTTAATATTTTATAAATTTTTATTTAGCTTATATTTAATCTGAGCAATGTCTTGTGAGCTATGTCTGGGTAGTACCATGGACAGTTACCAAGTGTGTATTACACTAGGCTATCATCTAACTGGCATTCCTCAGAACTCTGTGTATAGGCAGACTTGTAATCTGATGTGATTACAGTATTTTCCCCTGTTTCTTCACTGAATAATGTACTCAGTTTGTTAAATAGCTCAGATTGCATCGTAACAGTCTTCTTAATGACTGTTTCCAATAAATATGCACCTTGTCGTATAATTTTGTTTCCACTGTGCCTTGAAAAACAAGTAACATAGTAAAATAATATTCAAAGATATCTTAGGAAAGTTCTCATACTCTTTTTTCTTTTCCTCCCCTACCTATCATTGTAAACATTTTAACGAAGTCCTCCTGAATTTCTTATATGTAAAGGTAGATGATAGATTCAGTCTAATTTTGCTGTTAGAGCTGTAGAGTCACAATAGATTACATGGGACCACCTTAAGGAAGCAATAATATATAATTAACATTTTCTGTAGCTGTTGGTTTTTCAATTTTTAAGAAGTTTTATTTGTAATCTTGTCTTTGATTAAAACAATATGGTACTTACCTTTTTGCCATTCTACTGTTTTCTGTAATCATTAAAACTACTAGGGTTAAAAGTATTGATCGTATTTTTCATCAGATTTCTTTAATCAAAGTTTTACTCTTAAATTCATTTTCGCTGTTCATGGTTATTTGTCTGATTATTAATTTGTTTTTAATGTTCGTTTACATAGTTACTACCCTCCATAACAATACTACAATATAAATGTGTATTCATCATAAGTATATATAAAGTAGATATATATAATTATATATGTCCTGTACAAGTATATTATATGGTATATAGTATATTTCAAATGTGGTATGATATATTTCATGTGATAACTGGTTATGCATATATATGCTTATATATAACTATATGTATACACACATTTGTATGTACTTGTATATAGAGTACATGTATGTTTTATATATATACATATATACAAACACACTTGATATCAAATTTTTTAATATGTAACTCATTTCCAGAAAATTGATATGCTATTTTTGGTTGGAAATTAATGAGGTACCTAGATCCATACATAAGCATCTTATAAATTTATTTATTTTTAGTTTTCAACATTTACTTCCACAAGATTTTGAATTCCATATTTTCACCCCATCTTGCCCCTCCCCCACCCCAAGATGACATGCATTCTGAATACCCCTTCCCCTAGTCTGCCCTCCCTTCTATCTCTCCCCCCCTTGTCTTATCCCCTTCCCCTTCTATTTTCCTGTAGGGCCGGATAGATTTCTGTACCTCATTTCCTGTATTTCTTATTTCCCAGTTGCATGTGGAAACATTTTTTTTAAACATGTGCTTTTAAAACTTTGGGTTCCAAATTTTCTCCCTTCCTCCCATCCCACCCACCCTCATTGAAAAGGCAAGCAAGTCAATACAGGCCATACATGTGCAGTTATGCAAAACACTTCTGTAGTAGACATGTTGTAAAAAACTAACTCTATTTCCCTTAATCCTATCCTGCCCTCCCATTTATTCCATTCTTTCTTTTGACCCTGTCCCTCCTCAGAAGTACTTCTTCTGATTACCCCTTTCCCAATCTGCCCTTCTCTGTATCATCCCCCTGCTCTCTTGTCCCCTTCCTCCCCCATTTTCCTGTAAGGAAAGACAGATTTCCATACCCAATTGAGTGTGTATGTTATTCCCTCCTTAAGCCAAATCCTATGAGAATAAGATTCCCTCATTTCCTCTCACTTTCCCTTGTTTCCCCTCCACTGTCAAGATAATGTACCCCATTCTACCTCTCCCTTTCTTCTCCGAGTATCATCCTCTCTCACCCCTTAATTTTATTCTCCAGATATCACCCCTTCATCTTCAACTCACCCTGTGCCCTCTATCTATCTATGCATACATACATATAATTTTCCCCTCCCACTACTCTAATACTGACAAAGGTCTCATGAGTTATAAATATCATCTTTCCATGCAGTAATATAAACAGTTCAGCCTTAATAAATCTCTTATGATTTCTCTTTCCTGTTTACCTCTTCATGTTCCACTTGAGTCCTGTATTTGAAAGTCAGATTTTCTATTCAGCTCTGGTCTTTTCATCAGAATGCTTGAAAGTCCTCTATTTCACTGAATGACCATTTTTTCCCCTGAAGGATTATACTCAGTTTTGCTGGTAGGTGATTCTTGGTTGTAATCCTATCTCCTTTGCCCTCCGGAATATTATATTCCATGCCCTGTGTCCCTTAATGTAGAAGCTGCTAAATCTTGTGTTATCCTGATTGTGTTTCCACCATACTTGAATTGTTTCTTTCTGGCTGCTTGCAATATTTTCTCCTTGACCTGGGAACTCTGGAATTTGGCTACAATATTCCTAGGAGTTTTCCTTTGGGGATCTCTTTCAGGAAGAGATCTGTGGATTCTTTCAATTTCTATTTTGCCCTCTGGTTCTAAAATATCAGGGCAGTTTTCCTTGATAATTTCTTGAAAGATGATGTCTAGGCTCTTTTTTTGATCATGGCTTTCAGATAGTCCAATAATTTTTAAATTCTCTCTCCTGGATCTATTTTCCAGGTCAGTTGTTTTTCCAATGAGATATTTCACATTGTTTTCTAATTTTTCATTCTTTTGGATTTGTTCTACTGTGTTGTGATTTCTCATAAAGTCACTATTTTCCAATTGCTCTATTCTAATTTTTAAGGAAGTATTTTCTTCAGTAAGCTTTTGGACTTCCTTTTCCATTTGGCCAATTTTGCTTTTTAGGGCATTCTTCTCCTCATTGGCTTTTTGGACCTCTTTTGCCATTTGGGTTAGGCTATTTTTTAAGGTATTTTCTTCAGTATTTTTTTGGGTCTCCTTTAGCAAGCTGTTGACTTGTTTTTCATGATTTTCTTGCATCACTTTGATTTCTCTTCCCAGTTTTTCCTCTTCTCTTACTTGCTTCTCAAAATCCCTTTTGAGCTCTTCCAAGGCCTGGGACGGATTCATATTTTTCTTGGAGGCTTTGGATGTGGGAGCTTTGACTTTGTTGTCTTCTTCTGGTTGTATATTTTGATCTTCTTTGTCACCAAAGTAAGATAATATAGTCTGACTCTTTTTGCGAGGTTTGCTCATGATCCCAGCCAACTACTTGAGTTTTAAACTCTTTGTTAAGGTAAAAGTCTGCGTCCAATGTGGAGAATGTACTGTCCCAGGCTTCAGGGGTTTGTATAGCTGTTTTCAGAGCTACTTCTAAGGACCTGTAAATTTTCAGTTCTTCCAAGGTGGTGTGATAAGGGTCGAGGTGTTTACTCTTTTCCTGGCCTGAGCTCTGGTCTTTGAGTGACCCACCACAAGCAGTCTTTTCTCTCTTGGAACAGTGAGGAGGGTTTCTCTCCACCAGCCACTTACAAACTCCACCGCGCCAGCGCTCCTCCTTACCCCAGGACCGCCACCCAGAACTGTGACCCAGATCCAAGCATGAGCAAAGCAAGAGATTGCTGCCTCAGCACCAGCAAAGAGATCCCTGCAATCCATCTCTGATCAGCCACTTGATTCCCCCTCAGTCTGTGGGCCGGAACCTCAGGACACAGCCACTGCCCCGGCACCCACGCTCTGCGCTGTGGAACTGGCTCTGACCTATCTCTTCTCTCACCGCAAAAACAGACTTTTCCCACTGACCTTCTAAGTTGTCCTTGGCGTTCGTGGATTGAGGAGTGTGGAAACCGCCACAGCTGCTTATGATTCAGTCCTCTGAGGCCTGCTCCAGGTTCAGCGCGGCCTGCGCGCCCACGCAGAACTGCTCTCTCCCCGCCCCGCGCGATATGCCTTTCCGATCAACCATCCAGGCTGTCTTGGGCTGGAAATTTGTTTTACTCTGTCTTTTTGTTGGGTTCTGCTGCTTTAGAATTTGTTTAGAGCCATTTTTTTGTGGGTATTTGGAGGAGTTTGGGGGAAGAGCTTAAGCAAGTCACTGCTTTCACACCACCCATCATGGCTCTGCCTCCTCCCATACATAAGCAATCTTAACTGTTATTACCTATATTAGCTATAATTTCATTTAAATTTTTTTCACTCATGAGCATTGATGTACAAGTATCAGGTTATTTCACTAGAACCAAAAGATTTTTTTGCAAAGAATTAGATGACCAATTAATTATTGTAAAACTAGCTTCTTATTTAGGGTCTTTTAAAAAGGTCCAAAATGGAAACCCTGTGGTTTATCTAAAGACACCCAAGAATGTAGAGGCAGGAGATAATAAAAGAAGGATACTAGGCCAGTTCATGAATTCTTTTACATTTGGGTCAGGAATGATACTTCCAAACTAAGTAGCCCACCACTGTCCCCAAAGCCAGGACACAGATGGATTCACCCAAAAAGGTCTAAAGCATTTTGATAGAGCAGTGAAGAAACTACCTGCTAATTTTAGAGCTACAATTATAAAAGTTGATTTGTAAAGAGGAAAAAAAATTAAAGTTACAATTCATAAAAATGACTTTTTGAACATTCTGTATATTTATCTGTATGTATATGTATAATTGAGATAACACAATATGACAATGTATCTGAGAAATTAATATCACTAACCACTTTTGAAATTTAATTTTAGACAATTCATGGGCACAAGGGGCCAATAACTGCTGTGGCTTTTGCTCCTGATGGACGATATCTTGCCACCTACTCAAACTCTGACAGTCACATTTCCTTCTGGCAGGTAGGTATATTTGCTACTGCTATAAATTGATTCTGTGATATAGCATATAATATGTATGAATTTTGAGCCTTTAGTACATGTAAGTCAGCTAATATTGAAACTAGTTAGAAAATAATCAAGACTTGAGTTAGCAACAAGATTATACTAAGAAGAGTCATTGGAGAGAAAAGCTAAAAAATTATTGTATTTTACATAAAGCATCTTATTTCCAGTAGATTTATATTAGACCTTATAAGTTTCCATGAAAACTATTTGTTATAAATCTCACAGACTTTGGTTGCCATTTAATTACCTAGTCTATTCTTTGATTAAGATGAACTTTTACAACAGTTTGGTTTTGACCTCTAAGGTATTTTACAAGTTTTAAGTTATCTGTCTCTATGCATCTTAACTTCTTTTTACTTTCTCTGTAGTAAATCCTTCCTTTCCCTTTCCTTCTTTTACAGCTAATGATAATGGAACTATTGCCTTTCTCCTTTGCCATTGATAATTATTAACATTTAAGCATTAGCTGCCCCTCCCATAGGTAGTTAAGACTTTTGTCATTCTTCTCCACATTTACTTTTTTTTCTAGTATCCAAGGATACTTTATGAGATTCTACTTATTGCCTTAAAAGGTTAAAAAAAAAAAGAGTTTGAACAAGGTCTGAACACAACTTGATGATGGCTTTAAAAAATCAATAGCTAATAAAATGTAAAATGGATACGATAAATTGCTTAATTAACAACATACTATTAAAGCATGACAACTTCCAAATCTGTCACAGACTTTTTCTTCATTCATCTAATTTAGTTTTCCAGTTTATTTTCTCATTATCCTGGCTTCCAGAATATACCTCTAATATCTTAATTAGCTTATATTAAATTATTTTCCCTAAAGATATTACCTAGTCTTCATTTTTTCCCAGTGTGTAGCCACAGTGCTCTTATTTTATGCTACTTAGATCCCATAGTGAGGCCATTAGCTGGCCTTAAATTGGACTCTTGTAAGAAGTATGTGTTTTAAAGAGTTTACCAACCAATGTTATTCCTATTTAATGCTTACCAAATTTTTATTTGCTATATCAATTTGTACTTTGTTCTTCATCTTATGTTCTTCTTCTCTTGTAATATTTGAAGAGGTGCAAGGAAAAGAACTGTAATGATATCCATATCCAACACAGAGCCTTCCCTTCATTTCTTTATAAAAAATTATTCGTTTCCCCTGCCCCCTCTACATAACTGTAATAACTGTATTAGAATAGCATTTCGAGATTTGTAGTACGCTTTCCTCACAACTCTATGAGATGTATAATAAAGGATTACCATACCCATTTTATAGATGAGAAAACAGACACAGAGTGTAACCCTCACAAAGCTATTGTCAGAGCTGGGAATTAAAGCCAAGTCTCCCAACTCCAGGTCCAGCTTATCTGTAAAATAAGAATAATAATAGAATGTCCTTGACAGGCTCATGAGGATCAGATATGTATAAAATGTTCTACAGATCTTACATCATTCTATAAATGTTGACTATTGTCATTATTATTGTACTGAGTGGACTCTCGTTGACTTGAACTTGTTCCTCCTCTTACTCTTTATGTCTGTCTGTATTAGTCCTTTGAATTTATTCTCCTTTTCATCTGTTTCTGAACAGCACATAGATGATGAAACTAGGGCTAGACCTACCCTCCTAATACTGGGTTTTAAGGCCCAGCTAAGTGGTACAGTAGATTAAGCACTGGGCTTTCACATCCAAAATCATACAATTTACCAAATTTGTGTTCCTGGGCAAGTCACTTAGCCTCTGCCTACCTCAGTTTCCTCAATTGCAAAATGGAGATAATAATAGCACCTACGCCACAGGGTTTTTGTGAGGATCAAGTGAGATATTTGTAAAGCTATTACTTAGCACAGTGCCTGGCTTATACTTGGCATTTAAGTGTTTCCCTCTCCCCCTTCCCATCAACCTAATATAAACTTGCCCATGATGCCTCCTTTTTCCACTCTTAGATACCAGGTGTTAAAGAAAACAGAAGCTATTCTTTATGCCAATTAACAGTTCCATAATGAACCCTTCTTAAAATATTAATTTACCAAGGCCTACAAAGGGAGTTTTTAGGTGCACAAAGCCTGAACCCTGAACAAAGCTTCTTTTATATGCCCTTTTCACTCTATCCAAGCCTAGCTTCAGTTTTCTGATCTTCACCTGAAGATACTAAGAAAAAATAATGTATATTCTCTTTGCAATTTACAAAACACTTTCTTCCCAACAAGCTTCTGAAGTAAGTAATGCAGATACTGTTATTCCCATTTAACAGATGAGGAAACTAGGAGTCAGAGAAGCTCACTTTCCCAAGATCCCACAGCTGGTTAGGTTTGAAGTCAGAATTTAAACCAAAATACTCTGATTCCAAAGTCAAGTGCTCTTTCTACTCTATCATACCAAGAGCTATATGTGCAGCATCTTTAGGATGGTTGAGGTGTAGCACCTCTTGTCATAGGATCAGAGCCTTCAGATTGTAAGGGACTATTGAGGTTATCTGGTCCAACCCCTACCCCCCCACACACACCCATTGCTTTAACAGGTGAAGAAACTGAGATACTGAAGAGTTGTGATTGGCCTGGTATCATACAGGTAGTAAGTAACACACTTTCACTTTAAATCCAATTCCTCTTGCTCTAAATCCAGGGCTCTTTCTGATAAGGTACACTGCCTTTTGAAAAGCAAGACTTACATTATAAGCATGTCCTGTCTGGCACTTTAATATACATGAACATTCAGTAAATATTCAAAGAAGACGTTTCTACCAACAATCAAATTACCTTGCCTCTAAGTTTAATGCTACTTGCACTGGACTACGTTGTATTTATTTTTCAAATGAGCATGCAGCTTGTTTCTTGTATATTTAGATTAGAGCCAAATGAAAGTATCAGGTCTTTGCTTCAAAGGAAATGGAAGGAAATAACACTACTAAGAGTAATTTCTGTTTTACCAAGAAAATGCATTAAAACTACTGCCAGTAAGTATCTTGAAGATCTTATATTTGAGGAGATTCCCAAAAGCTGTGTTATAGGTATTGCAGTGTGAGATCCTGGAAATCCTTCTAAATACTGATTTATTTAGATATTTAGTTTTAACGATGTAGACGTGTGGCTAAGGGAGAAACATGGGGAGAGATGCAGAAGTGTACTTATATTGAAAATAGTATTAAAGCTTATTTCATATTTCTTGCTTTTTGTATTTTTCATAACTCAGAAATGTCTCCATCAGTGAGTAGACAAATGTAATGAAAGGAAATGAAATTGAAATTTGTCTGTTTGGTTACTTGCTGTTATAGCTCTGACTAAGATTTAAAAAAGGAAAAAGTTGAAATCTAACCAAAATGGCATTTTTACAGCATTTACGCATTTCATTTCTTACGTTAGTGAGAATAAAATGTAATAGGTGATTTACATTCCATTAACTTACCCAGAGTAGTGTGCATTGAAGAACTAAGATATGTCCTTTCATTGTTTTCTGATATATCTAGAGTATAATATGAAAATAATACTTACTAGCTTTTAGCCATCCACATAGTAAATCTCTGCTTTTTGAATGATCTTCAGAAATGTAGCAACTCCTTTCTTCTACCCTGAGTAGAGCCTCAGGTCATTGACTGCTGGATTGGGTAAGGGACGATAGTAGAGGGGTGAGAGTTTTTGTTTATGAGTTTGTGTGTGTTAGTATCTATGTGTTTCCAAAGCCAGATGGCAGTGATATTCAGTTAGCCATTATTTTATATTATCTGTATCTTTTGTATTATGTGTAGAACTTTTCCACTGAAATTTCTCTTCAGCTCACCATTTTAAATAAGCCTGTAACTTCACTGGTTCATTAAAGGAAGTCATGCATTTTGGCATAGTATATAGTGATTGGTCAAGAAAGATCTTGAAATTTAATAATAAAATGGTTGAAACCTTGGGTTCTTTGACAAAACTTTATCAATCCAAACACATTGAATTGATCCCAAATTTGAAAAGAGAAATGAAATATTTTAGTTACTGTAGCATGAATGTTCTCTAGGGTGCCTTCCAACTCTGGAATTCAGTGAATTTCCATAGTTTTAGCTTAGTTGAGCATATTATTTTAATTGTGACTTGCAGAATTTCTCTTGCAGCACAGTAGTCATTGGAGGAATAAATCAACGCCATGCCATGAGTTGATGAGAGGCACCTAGTTACCCATACGGAGCATTTTCCTAAATGTTTTACTTTCTGTGGCATCCCTAGAGAGAATTCCTCTCCCCCCCCCCTTGTTCTACCTTCTGCCTTTAGCCTACAGTATCACCCTTGCCTTCATGGACTTCTTTCATGTGATTTAACCCTGGAGGTGAGGAGGGGAAAAAAGAGGAAGTACCTGAGCATGTGGCTACTGATGCGACTCATGAGCACAGTATGAGTTTCGTGTGTTTACGTTTTCATAGAAAATCCACGAAAAAGAACAATTTGTCTCTGTCAACTAAAAATTAGATATTTACTTATTTATTTGTTTTGTGAGGCAATTGTGAGGTGTTAAGTGACTTGCCCAGGATCACACAGCTAGTAAGTGTCAAGTGTCTGGTGTGAGACTAGATTTGAACTCAGGTCCTACTGACTCTAGGGCCACTGCTCTATCCCACTGTGCCATCTAGCTGCCCCAAAATTAGATATTTAAAAAATATAATATACTTTTTAATGTCAGTTAATTTTTAATCATTAATTTTCTGGGTCATTTGGTCAGTCATGCTGTAATGAGGATTGAATTATTAAGTGTGGTTATTTCTTGTAACTGCAAGGTTTTTGAAATATTATCCTTGTGTAAACTATTTGGGGATCTTTCGAAAGCATTAAGGAATTGATTTTTAAATTTCATTAAATCTTTCAAAATGATCTTAAAACATTGAGAGGATCAAGACTTTGGCACTGTTTGGTTTGAAATATGCTAAATGTCAGGCTAACTTTAGCAGAAACAGTTAACCATAACCATACATTTGGTTTTAAAATGTGACCTCATACACTAGTGATTTTGTTCACCTCTGTGTTGTATTCGGCACTATTATTAATGCAGGAAAATCAGTAACATTAGTCATCTTAAAAGGGTTATTACTCAAGATGATTTAAATTGTGAAAATGTCAGTGCTGCTTGCATGCTCCCTGCTAGAGATGTGGTGATTTACACTCTCTGACACCATTCTGCCGCTGAGAAGGGCCAGAAAAAGTAATGGCTTATATTTTGTACTGATCAGAATTCAGAACATGATTTCAGCAATAACATATCTTAAATGTTCTAAGATTTGCCAAGGTTTTATGTGTCACATTTTACATATGCAGTTGGGCCATACAAATCCCAATAACCTAATATATTGAGATGGAAATTTTGCTGAAGAAAAGAACTGGAAATAAAAGTTATTACAAGAGAAGGGGGGGAAAACCTGTTTCTGAGATTTCCTTTCTGACTTTCAAGGTGTTCATCATAGCATCAACAGTGTGTACTGAACAATCTCCAAAGAAAAGCTCTTCAGAAAAGTGTTTCAAACATTCAGTTAGCTAGATGAAATTGCTAAGATAACTATACCCCAATGTATTTTTGGAATTTAATTTTTTAAATTGTTAATGATGTACCCTAAGTGTATAATTCATAATTTAACATTACCTTATTAATTTTCATGGATTGATAAGAGAAGTTAAAGGATTTTTTTTAATAAATATTGTGCCCAGACTTGATTTACTTCCTGGCAAAATGCATCATAATAAGCTTTCAAGCCTTGTGTTTTCTTTATCTGACATGGAACATCATAGATGAGCTATAGAAACAGTGCTGAAATGCTGATTAAGATCTCTCGGTTTAATTTGAAGGGAGACAAGAGCCAAAGGACTGAGTAAGACATGGAGGAGAAAGGGTTATGTTGTGGGATCTGAATCAGCATCTTCCCACTCTGTTGTTCAATTTTACCATTTCCTTGTTCCTATAGACCATAATTCACAAAAAAACTAGACAGTAGTTTTTTGTTTGGTCGTTTATGGTTTTATTTTGTTTTTTTTTCTTTTAGGAAATATAAGGCCTTGTTGTACTTACTGTTTGTTGATTACAAAATGAAAAAAAAAATTTTAAGGCATTTGAATCGGTAGAAAAAACGCACTGACTTATAGGGCTCTTTCACAGCAAGGTATCTCCCATCCATACATGGCATGTTAAAACAGAATTGTGTTAGCTTTGATATCGAGCAAGAAGATGAATAGTTTCAAGCACATATATTATTTTCAAATTCAAGCCTTTCTTACATGTAGTATCAGCACCTATAGTTCAGGTAAATTCCTATTCAAATATTAACAGAGAATTAGGGAATTCAGCCCACAAATATGTCAAAGAAAAAGTTTTCCTTTTTTCCCCAAAATTTACAGAAACATGATCAGGAGTATTTCAGATGTTGTGTATGAAGTTCTTCAGGATTTAAGAAAATAATTTAAAGATGATGAATACCCATTTTGAGAAGGAGTGCTTGAATGAATACTATTTAATATAGATTTTGACCTTATTAAAGAAAAAATATTTTAAAGGTACATAATGAAGTCATTTTCTGTTTCTTGTTCTAGATGAATACCTCACTGTTGGGAAGTATTGGCATGCTGAACTCAGCACCCCAACTCCGTTGTATTAAAACTTACCAGGTGCCCCCTGTCCAGCCTGCATCCCCTGGATCACATAATGCACTCAGACTGGCCCGGCTGATCTGGACTTCCAATCGTAATGTTATTCTAATGGCCCACGATGGAAAGGAGCATCGATTTATGGTCTAGAACTAATGTCTACATTATTATAATTTTTGTTTTTAAAATTCCCTGTGAGCCTATATTTCTCCATCCTTACTCATACTGGATTTACCCACATCAGTGCCTATAGAAGTCATCCAGTGGGATCAGCCAGATAAGCAACACTTGTGCATGGTTCTTTCTGTAGGGCAGAATCCCCTTTGTACCAACTATGGATTCAGAGGCACATACATACCAACTCAATAGTATATGGTTATTTGATCACGGATGGTTTTTCCCTGCCATTGGTGGGAGGGAAAAGAAGGCAGTTATTGGGAAGGTTCTTGTTGCTTGGTGCAGCAGAAGCTGGAAAATCAATAAACACTGTGATTGCACTCCCCAGCATTTTCAGGAATTTAAGCCCAAGCTCTGACATACAGTAGAATCTAGTAGCTTTGATATTGGATGTTGAGGTAACATGGCAGTCCTAATTATCAGCATAATTTTCTTTTGGGTTTCTTAATGCATTCTACTGTTTACCAAAAAGTTTCTACATCTACATGTACTTTCTTCAGGTGATCACTGGGTGGTTACTCGGTCCAGTGTCCTAGGCCTTATTAGTTACCTTCCTTTTTAAGGATCTAACTGGTTTGAGAGAAGTAAGAAAGTACGTGGAGAAATTTTCAACACAGCCTCTTTCAGGCAAATGCCCTTCTGTAATGCTCAAGTGACGGCTTATTCATTAAATAGTTGTTTTTAACCCATTGCTTTTTGTGATCTAAACAAAAGAAGTATCTAGTCCACATAACAATACCTTCAGTTTTGCACAATAAAAAACAAAATCTAAGAAGAGCATTCTGTATACATATATATGGAGATACTTTTTTTTCTGAAAAAGAGTTTATTCCCCCCCAGAAATATTTCAAATCTATGAATCAAATTGTAGGAAATTACATTTGTGACATGTCCGTTATCATGCTAATAATTCTAATGTTGAATTCAGCCTTCGAAAACCACTGATTGAGTAAGGAGGAGGTCTTGTTTGTTTTTGCAAAAGCTCTGCCAAAATGAAAAGTAGCAAATACAGCAAAAAATTCTGAAAAACATTTGAAAGGCAAATGACTTATGTTTCTGTAAGTTTGCTTGAACATATATCCAAAGGAGGATTTTTTCCTTCTTCAACATAAACTTTAGGTGTTCATTTTTTTCTGCTACATATCAGTTTGTCAAATTATGCTAGTTCATGCTCACAGTAATGAAAGAAATACTTAAAATAATATTTGTATAAATTATTCCTAACATTGACACATGTATAGTTTTGTTGGCTTAAGGATTTGTGGGGTAGGGAGCTAGTGTCCATTTTATCTGAAAACTCACAAAAGAAAAATGTTCTATAAGTAAATGATTAGAGAAAAAGAAAATATGGAACTCACTGGGAAACCAAAAGTGGTAATACAGGAAGAAAGCAAATGATTGCTTCTAAATTTAAAAAGCATTGATTTTTCAAAGAGAGAGTTTATGTAATATATGAAAAAAGTAGGATCACAGTCTAGAAGCAACACATCTGTTGTTTTACTGAACTGAGTTTTTAAAGAACAGAAAAAGAAATTAAGACCATTAGGAATGTTTCTCTCATATTGCTGTAAAGTGTATTATTTCTAACTGTGGAAGAGCTGTAGTATTTCCTGGTGGTCAAATTCTGTAGTATGGATGTTTTTTAAAGTGAATTTATGCCACATGCATGAATATTCTATTTATAAAGACTATATATGTAGTTTCCAAGGAAGAAGTAAAGAGCTATACAGCATGATCTTTGTTTGATGAATATGCTGTCGTGCTCAATTTAGATAGAGAGCTATGGAGAAAAACTAAAAGGTGCACTTTGTTTTCCAGTAGGCTACCTGAGCCATGAACGTTCTGAGTCATGTTCTTGGAAGGAGCACGTACATGTTTATTTTCTGAATCTAAAAGAGAATTTCTTCTAGTGTGCAAAAATATTTTGGTATGATATTGTAAAAGTGTACCTTAAGAAGAGTAAACTGCCTGTGTTTCTTTTATAAACAAACCATTAAAATATTTCACAAGAAGAAACAGGACAAGACAATAGCCTCCTTTCATCTCTTCCAAATACAGTTGTGGCATAGAGATTTTAAATAAATTGGGAGAGCTACATGAGTCAAAATGCTCCAGAGGTTAACATCTTTTCATCTCTCACAATATCTGTCCAAGCAGACCATCAGAGCTACGGGCCAGGAGCAGGTTCTGTTAGCAAGCCCTGGAGTGGGGTGATGTTAGCTATTAGACATATCCACCTACTACACAAAAATTGGCCTATTAGTTAATCACAAACCTCTTCACCACTTTGTCAGCTACAGTCCCAAACTTCATTACAGCTTAGATCTCTCAGCACCATGGTAAACTTTGTATTGTCACTCCAGTGTAAGCTTTTAGTGTTTTATTGATTTGTTAGTACTGTATTTGGACTTGTCCTTGTAAATGTAGAGACATCTGTGGCTTCATTGGCAGTTTACAAGCAAAAGATGACATGATGGGACACCTGTATGAAAATGTTGTGATGATTGAAGTGGCTGTGGGTCACAAATGAGCTGAAATGTCTGCCAGATTCCACTTAATAGATGCTCTGTGTACTAAATGTCCCTGTGTACATATGTGTGTGAAATAAAACTGAATTGTACTGAAAAACATCTTTTCTGTGCTGTCTGTTTAGATCGGCTATTTTATTCACTCTTCTTACACCTTTTCAAATGACATTTTATGCTGATTTTATTACCTTTTTTTTCCCTTTCACCACTAAAATAAAACCTGTGCTTTACTAAAATAGTTATTTACTTCCCAATGAATCTAGAAAATCATGTCTAAGAAAGGCAAGACTTTGCTCAAAAAAGACATTAGAGTACAAATTCCTTCCCTGGATGCTGTTAGAAGTGTGATAGGATCAGGTGAAGACAGGCTGCCTGGCCAAAACCCAGTACCCTCTGTGGCCTGGGCAGAGCAGTAGTGCTCCTTATCATTATTTCTGTCTTCCCTGGCTCCTAAGTATCCTGTTAATTGCACCAAATTATACATTGTTAGATTTGGTAACAGGGGCTGCTGTCCTGTGGAAGCTAAGATCATTAAATTCATTTCATTTAATACTCAGTTTGGACTTGAATTCGAATCCCCAAGGTAAAAGCATAATTGGTTTTGAGCAAGGGCAAGAATAACAAAATAGGTCATTATTGCTTCCAGAGGTTTATAGTGCAAGCAGTAGATGTAATCCTTTTCTTTCAATTTTCAGATAAGAAGATAGGACACTTCGAATTGAGTCAGTCATTATGTAACAATATAATTTTCTGTGACAATTAGATAAGCATAAAAGGAGCTGATCACAACAGTTTTGACGCTTCAAATGCCTAGAGTGTCTGGAACCATGAATTGTTTTAGCATCCAATGATGATTTAAATGCTTTTGTATGGGTAAAGTAGGGGCAATAAAAGCCCTGTATGATTGGTGATCACATAATCTGATCAAATGTGGAAAGGGCATGACATTAATAGGAAGGTAAAGCCAAGCAGTGCTAGATGAACTTTCACCTTTCACCTCTTCAGCTGACGGACAGAACTGAGTGTTGAAAAATCAATACTTGGGAGCCAGGAGGGAAATATTTCCAAGCTCTAACTAGAGAATGTATTTTGACAAGGCCAAGATAATCCAAGCTGCACAGGAGAAAGAGAAAAGAAGACTCATTTTTAAAGCTTGACACTTCAAGGTGTTTTTGTACAATGGTTTAGAGAGCGTCAATACATACAAATACCAAAGGTCAAAAAGAAAAGCCAGAACTTCAAAAATTAGATGCTCAGTTCTTTTTGCTGTTTACAGACTAAAAAGACCCCAGAATAGCTTTGGCTTGGAATTGCCCTTAAAATGAACTGAGCACCCAATTTTACATGCTTTTCACATCTTAGCTCTTCCCCACCTCCATCCTCCCCCCCATCAAATCTCAAATATAGTAGATGCCAGTTTTTGTTAGTCATTTCATTTTGTAAAGGAATCCCTATGAATGGGGGCTGCCTGCAAGTCTGACCAAAAGCTGCAGCTTATGATGTGTTTACTGTGGCAAATTTTTTTTTTATATTAAATGATTAACATATTTTGGGCTCACATCTCACAATTTGTTCAATTTTGAATTTGCTTATATAGTTTGTTAACCCTTTCAAGCTACCCAAGATCTTCCCAAGTTGGGTAGCACAGAAGCTTTTTCATACGAGTTATTGGATCTTTAGAAAGGTGAACAACTTGTTCTGTTCTCAACATCAGATCCATTCATTCTACAGACACATGTCAAATTATTTGAGTTCCTTTCATTTTTGCTTACATGTAAAGTGTGTCAGAGGGCATCTAACACCTTCCAGCCATATTCTCAAAGCAGCAGAACCCCTGATTATTTCTTGTGATCAACATCGTCTTTGTTTCTGTTCTAGAACATACATCATGATATGACATTATCATTATTCAAATAATAATATGAAACTATCCACTTTTGTTTACTTTCTTTTAAAAGTCCCAGACTTATTACAACTACTTACTTCACAATGTCCTGAGGAGATAGGTATTGGGTTTGGGGTTTTTTTCAGATGAGAAAGAATAACCTGCCTGGAGACAATTAAGCAGCAAATTCAGCACTAGAATCTGGGTGCCATGGACATCCTATGTCCACTCCATAACTTTTAAATGGAAATAAGTGGCTTAGATGCCTCATCTTCTTTGAGATGAACAATTATTAACTAAATTCATTTTTGTTCTCCTCTATGCACTAGCCCATTTATTTTCAAAGCACTTTACAAGTCATCTTATTGAAAGAATACCTCTAACATGAAGGGACTTATAATTGATTGTAATTGATCAATCAAGCATTTATTAAGAACTTACGAACCAGTGACTGTGCAAAGAGCTGAGGACACATACAGAATAAAAGGAAGGTATCATTAGTCAGAGGGAGAGGCCTCCTTAAGGAGCTAGCACTTGACTTGAGTCTTAAAGGGAACCAAAATTCTAAGAAGGGGAGTTTAGGAAGGAGAGCATTCCAGGCTTGGGGGCCAGCCAATGCAAAAGCATGGACATAGAAGGTGGAGTGTGTTGTGCAGACAAACAGCCAATAGGCCGGTTTAACTAGACCATAGAGAGTATAGTGGTGTCTGATGTATTAAAAGACTAGATAAGGCCCAGGTTGTAAAAAGCTTTAAATATGAAATGAATGTATATTTGATCCCATCAGTAATAGGGAGCTTTGGGAGTTTATTGAGCAGAGCTGTGATGTAGTCCTATGCTTCAGGAAAATCACTTTAGCAATTGTATGGTTTGTAATAAAGAGGACTTGAGGCAGGGAGTCCATTTAGAAAGCTATTGCAGTCAATCAGGTGAGAGGTGATGAGGGCTTGAGTTAGGTGGTAACTGTGTGAGTGGATAGAAGGGAATTTTGGGAGAGGGAAAGAAATGAAAAGATTTGGCAATTATGGGATATGTAGGGTAAATGAGAGTAAGGAGTTGAGAGTGACACTGAAAGTAAGAACCTGGGTGAGTGGAAGGATGGTGGTGCTCTAAGTAATAATTGAGAGGTGGGAAGAGGGATGAGTTTGTGGGAAAAGACAGAGTTCTGATTTTGATATGTCAAGTATCCATAGGATATTTAGTTCAAAATGTCCAATGGGCGGTTAGTGATGTGGAACTGGAGAGGGGCTAGGGCTGAATCTATGGACCTGGAAATCATCAACACAGAGATGATATTTGATCCCATTGGGAGATGATGAGATGATGGGGCTGTTGTTCTCATCTACTATTGGTGGCTGCTGGTCACCAGTTGTTACTCATGGGGATGAAAATGGTGGGCCCCTTCTACATGATAATTTCTCCCATCAGTTATGGCTGTGCTGGAAACAGGTCTGATGGTTTTGGGGACATTGTTGTTCCCAGGGTTCTTGGATTCAAAGGCAGATGCTGGCAGAGTAGAACTTAGGAAGACCTAAGTTCAAATGCAGCCTCAAACACTAGATGTGTGACCCTGGGCAAGTTCCTTAACCTTTGTTTGCCTCAATTTCCTCAAATATAAAAGAAGGATAATGATAGTACCTACCTTGCAGTGTAGTGAAGTTCAAATAAGATACTAATTGTAAAAAGCACTTAGTGTAGTGCCTGGCACAAATTAGGTGTCTTTAAAATCTTTATTCCCTTGTTTCTTTCCTGGATAGTCTCCATCAGGGTCCAAGGAGAGTTGGTAGTCAAGGTAGCAGTGTTTCTACTTGCCTGGCACATGTTGCTTCCTATCTATCTCCCTCTCAGGGTGCCCTGCTATATCAGCTAAGCTGGTTTTCCCAGTGAGACAGTTTAAGAGAAAAGAGAAGAGATAACAGAGCAGAGCCTTTAAGGACACTTGCAGTTGGTGGGCATGATCTAGAATGAAGAACCAGCAAACGAGATCGAAAAGGAGCAATCAGAGAGGAGGGGGGAGAACCATGAGAGAGCATCCTCATGCAAACCCATAAAGGAGAAAATATCTAGACGGAAGAGTCACATCTTCATCAGAGAATGTAGTAAAGGAGATAATGGGGAAAAGTGTCAGAGGGATAAGAGATGAGGTGGTGAAGAAAATGACCTCATTTTTTTCCAGTGACGTATGAAGCAAGCTCCTCAGCTCAGAGAGTGGGCAAGGGAGGTATCATGGGAGGCTTGAGAAGAAAATGGAAGATTTGGAACAGCTTCTGTGGTGAGTCAGATAGGTAGTCATTAAGGTGACAGCAAGGTTGCCTTGCTGCAGTGAGGGCCCAGGTGAGATTAGCTAGCATTCATTGAGAATGGACCCAATCAATGTGGTTTCATGATTTCCTATAGTTTCATTTAGCAACAGATGTTGGGAATAATTCAAGATTCGTCTTTAGCAAAGTGTGATCAGCAATAGAATCGGGGAACAAGGGAGCAGAGGATAATATGAAGTTGAACTGATTCGCCAAGGAATCACGACTGGGAAGAGAGAGTATAGACAAAGCAGGGAGTAATTACAAGGGGTTACTCTGAGTGAGAGATAGGTTAGAGGTCATAGTGATGATAAGGAGCAGGTTTAGGAGTAGTAACGCATAGGGAAATATGGAAACTATACACATTTAAACAGTTATTAAGACAGGTAACACACACCATACATGGTTTATTATCTGCTCTTTGGAAGCTATTACAATTTTCATAATTGTAACTGACAATTTAATAATTGCAATTTCTACACTATCTGCGTTGGTGGAGTTATAGGTCCAGTCCCTCACCCAAAAGCTAGCATCTCTATGGTGGTTCTGGCTCCTTTGCCATTTTCATTTGTGTTGCTATCACTAAACTTTTCATTATGTGTCCTTAAAAACGATTCAACATCTTTCATACTTTAAAGGCTCAATGATTTCACCAATGTGGGTGCCTCCTTCATGACAGAGATTTCAATTTCTCAATGAGTTGCTATGATCAGAAAACTTCATTTCTTGGTGGCAAAATTTCTATGTGGTCCATGCAATTTAACTAGACTAATTCCCAATTGATGGGCACACAAAACCCATCTCCAGACCCATATTCAAAGCCTTTCCCACCTGGCAGGACGTGCTGGAGCATGTATGCGTATTGCAGGCATAATCTGCAAGGGCCTTAAGCTCATCATGTTAATGAGGCATTCCAG